TCTAATAAACGAACGGGACGCTACAATCTACCTTCCTTTAAAGATTTTCGTCCCCGAGAATAAAAGAAAATCAACCCAACACGACAACTTACACAAGAGAGAAGCCCCAAACTACTAAACTCGGATACTCCGTCCAAATCTCCCCACTCTCCCAAGTCACACCGCACTAGCCACGGCTTCTCTGCCAGACTTTGATGAGTACCTCTCCCGGCCTCTCCGTGATGATCCATGAATCCAGTAGCTCACTGGTACCTCAACAGAGGTAAGGTTCTGCCCACATGCAGGTCGTCAAAGTTCGTCACGTGCCCCAGAGTCACGCAAATGTCCCCTTCCCACGAGGCACTGGACAAGTCGTGCACTCTCGCAAGCTCCGGTGATGGGGTCAACCATCAGGCTAAGTCGCCGACTCGGCCGAGAGTCTCAAAAGGACTGGAATAATGGGGCTGCAACATCCTCTCTGCTCAGAAACAAGGTGTACACACCTCTTTCCGTACTCAGAACCCCGTACAGTACCATCGAGATCGTCGCTCATTAGCCATAGCTATAAGTGTACCTTCCCATGGTAGGAAAATCCACACGACATACCTATCGAGTACACCAGACTCCAACCAGTCTCTCAGTGCCTCGACACTATGTTCCAAACACCCAATTATCTAGGTTGGATACGCGATGCCAAGTTTTAGTCTCGTTCCTGGTTCACGCTGACGACTTTCCCACGATCTCATTATGATCCGTGCGACCGTATCAGACGGCCGTCACGGAGCCCCATGTAGTCGGTACATCGCCACTACCTAATACTATCAACAATTACGATTTCACGGAACAAAAAATGCCTCTGCAAAAAACCCAAGGCTCCGTCCTATAACAACACGAAACCTCCTATCTTGCCGACTCGAGGAACTCTCACATAAGGCATAGGAAGCTTATCGACCACACTCCATTAATCGAAAACCATTCATTAAGAATTCATACACGGTTTAGTGAAACTTGGAGTTCTCGGTTCAAGGCTCGAAAGAAAAGGGTTCAAGAGGCTAACAAAATAGTTTAGCATGAAAACTGGTCGAACAGTTCAGAAAAGAAATCGATGGTTCTGGTTTAGTGCACTGGCACCCAAGAGGCGACACGCTCGCTGGCGCTGCATAAGCGGGGCTCTAGGATGCGCGCGCACACACATACTCGGAGACCAGCTGCAAGGTCGAGGTTTGGCCGCACACGCTGGATCGGGGAGTTCGTGCGTTAGGTGATGGCGACTGCAGTTCTCGTGCGAGTCAACGGTCGGTCCCGCAGTTGAAAAACAAAAATACTTGTCTTGACTGATACACAAGGTTGCAACGCAAGAACAAGTATTTGAAAAGGATAAAAAAAGTCCAAAGACAACACAGGATTTTTCCCGAAACTCCGAAAGGAATAAAGAACGAGAGGTTCCAAAGACTACGGTGAACAAAAATTTCAAGAAACGAAGACGGCTTTGCACCTGATGATGTGCTTGCACTAGACTCGACTACCCTTCTTAAAATATCCTTCATAATCTTTTAAGGTGGAAAAGACTTCCTGGTATGCGTCGGCCATCGCGTACGCTTGGTACAATGCTCAATTTGATCAAATAGAGGGATATTCGGTGGCCGTTTATCTCGAGGATAGGATGTTCTCAAGAGTTGAGACGTTACTCGCTCTCTTGAGTCCTTAGTAGCAAACTTGGGGGTATCACGAAACAAGGTTGCTAACCTTACTAAGGACAAATATGGATCCACAAAAAAATAAGATGCTTAACTCCATCTGAAAATTCATTCTACGCAAGGAAAGAAAAGACAAGCGAAAATTTCAAAGTATGGAAATTGAATAGCAAAAGAAGTCTCAAACCCAATTCAAAATTGTCTGCCAAGCGAAAGGAAATAGACAAAGGTTGGCAAAAGTTTACGAGGAAACAAAAACTTAAGAAAGAAATAAGACCGCTTCGACTTCACAAGTCCACGATTCGCTGCCTCCACCATTGATTCAAGTCGTCCCTGGTTAGTCTCGCTGCCGCTAGTCGATCGCTCTCGACTCAATACACGGAAGATAATTTCATCGTCTCTTTCAAGATTGAAGTGTCTCCCCAAAGTCATGGCAATATGGCATAGGATATTCACACGGTGTCGGATCGGCCTATCCGCCCTAAGAACAAAGTCGGATTCCTTTGTTTGAGAATTTTTGCAAAAGAATAGACAACTATCGCCCTTCTCGAGGCTTAGCCACCCTCGAGAGTTGCCACAGTGTTACGTATTAAGTTTACCCACCACTCCTCGGAGTCGAACAACAGCATGGACAAGGAACCTAGACTCTTCTCCCGGTTCGCATTCGACTGGGTTCTAACAAGCATCTAATGGTCCTATTGACAACGGTTACAGACTTCCGAACAACCCACACACCTGGGACCTCTTCAGTTGTCTGTTCCCTTTAGTTAAGCCTTCTCTTTTCGAGATGGCTTGCGAATGGTCCTCACTCGAAGACACTAAACAGAAACTTATAGCAAGAGAATTGCTATAGACAGAATTTAACTCGATAACCTCATATCAAAATTTTCAACAAGTAACTTCTAAAGACAGAACTTAACTCTATACCGCTAGAGTTCAAGTCCATATACACGTAGGTTAAAGTCCTAAGCCCCAAACAAACAGATAATCGATTAAACAACACTCATACCTTGAGCTGGCGCGGCTGGACGAAACGAGGGGTCATATACACAAATACTCAACAAATTCAGAAGCAGTATACAGAAACGTAGATCTGCTCTGATACCAAACTGTAATGTCCCGTAATTTTTAAGTGAAAAATACCAATTTATTTTTTCGAAAATCAAAGTTAATTTATCAAAAATCATTTTAAAGATTTATTTAACGGGCGCTACTCGAAATTTCACACAATACAATTTCAGTCGACACTAGGACCACGGGTACATCCAACCCAAACATAAATATCTCATGCCAAACAACTCATGTTACCATGATCATATAGTCATATGAAATATCCAATTCATATCCAAAATCCAATGCCATAACAATAATCCAAGTTCGAAACCGAAGCATGCATAATAGTCCAAATCCAAATTATTAATCCAGTTCTGAAATCCCAAGCAGGAATTAAAATTCCAAATAACATTGGTTCAGTCTCCAAACGAGAAATAAGCATGTCTAACATGAGATAATAAAATGATAATAATCAAGCGGAAGCAGGTAAATAGCAGTTCAACACATATAATGACCCCGCCTCGCTCGTCTTTCGCCACGACCGCCAGCGCAACCTGAAAGATGGTTAATAGTAGAGGTGAGCAACTTAGGTCACCATACCATGCAGTATAATCAATATAAAGACTTAAAATCATGGTCGCATTATGTAAGCAAATCGACTAGTCTACCCTTCCTAAACACAGCCACGCTCATGTGATCACACCTCTATCCTATCAACCCACACCAAAAAATATAGGAACAAGCCGTACACCCCAGGACTAGAGCCGCCTACACCAGGACTGCGCTCTCTAAAGGCTAGAGTTAGGCCTCATAGACTACCGGTTCACATGCATACCTAGATATCAAGCCAAGTATATATACAAATTAACATATGTGGTATTTAGATCAACTCCCACCTGATCAATTGAAATACACGAGATTACAATAATCAACAGGTAGTAGGCTGAGGGCTCGACTCCTCAAACACGTACATTTTAGCGAGATAATATATCAATAATCTATCTCACTACTCGGAAATAATTTAAAACCCACACTTAATCAAAATAAAGGATTAAGGTTTTAATCGAATTTTTTATGGACTTGGAACTCTCAAAATTTTAATAGAAAAGACTCGGAAAACGAAAATGGGATATCGAGACTTAATATAATTTCTCTTGGATTTATCCCATTTAATAAAAAAATTTGAAAATCGAGTTCGGAACGAAAAATGGGCTTCCGGTACACAAAAAGGCCAAAAAGTCACACTGGACCTCATGTCCGCACTTGGGCCGAAAGTCTGTAATGACATTCGGTCCGGAGGGCCGAATGGGCCGCAATACAAGGGTCTGCTACCAACTGGAAAGGGGCGCGGGCCCGCAAGCTGAGTACGCAGGTTCGCGGGCTGGGAAGGCTGAGAGAGTTTGGGACGCATGCGGACTGGAGCGCACCAGGACAGCCCGCGCGCTTTCTACTAGGTTAAAGTGCAACTGGACCTCGCGAGAGAAAATTGGGCCGCGATCAGGGGTAAAGGACGTGGGCTAGACTTGCTGGTTTAAGGAAAAAGAAAATAAAAGGTGGCCTGCGAGCAGAGGCAATAAGGAAAAGGGCTGGAGAAGCGAAATGAGCTGTTGACAGGAAAGGCGCACAAACTGCAACGTCGCTTAAAAACATACTCGGTGAAAGAGATGACTTCAACTTGATAACAGAGTTTGAACAAATTTCCAGAAAAATTCGAAATTAAAAATAAAATTTTTAGTGTTTGAGAATTTAAGTGAAATCGGGCTTGTTTCGAAAGCAAAACGACATCATATGATTAAAAAACAATCGGACGACAAGGCGCGAAATGGTAATACGGGACTCCGAAAACAACCGTAACCACAACATCAACAAAGAGACTCGATTATCCACATAAAACCTAACAGCAAGGTTCGATATACAACATCGAGAGTTTCATTCCACGATACAATTCACAATTCACAAAACGACGAATGAAACGAATCGAACAAAACAAATCAAATCCGACAATCAACGAGAATCGATAGGATGAACACGATATATCTAACAACATGATATATGAGCACCGAAAATATAAAAAGAAGGTTTGCCGAATACCTATCTTCTGGAATCTATGAGCTTGGTTGAAAAAAAATGAACAAGACGAATAGGACCGAACGGACCGNCTCGAAACTTGAAAACCACGAAAAAGAGACTGCTGTCCTTCGGACAGTCGAACTTACTGCCTGTTAGGAAAATCTTGTCTTGATGAACGGCTCGTCGGGACATGGCTGTTGGTGAATGGGGTCGCCGAAAAGAATGGCGGACAGAAACGGTGACTGCAGGTTCTCGGTTACGGGGCTGCTCGACTCCCGCCAATGGTGGACTGGGGTGCCGTGGGTCGACAACAGGCTACGCCTATGGAGAGAACGTAGGCTGCTTGCTGGTTTCACCGAAAATAAGGTGCGACTCAAATTTTCTCCTCTCTTTTTTTTTTCTTTTTGAAAGTCGAGGAAGAACAGGGGCTCGGGATATCCTCTCTCTCGTGAGATTGATGATGATGATGAAAAGACTTTCGACCGAGTCTTGTGTAGACGAGAGCGAGTGACGTGCGGTGGTGGTGAGATCTTACAAGAAAAATCGTAACGACAGGGAAGAAAAAGCTTTAGCTTTTTAAACTCTTGATGGACCAAGATTAGAGTTTCCAATTGGGCCGAGGAAAAAGAACAATCAAGTGGGGCTAAAAATTTAAATCAACCTGGGCCGAAAACAATTTATTTCATTGGGCCAGAAATCTGATAAAAGGGGCTGAAATATCATGATCTCATTTAAGCTGGAAGTTATCAATAAATGGGTCGAGACGAGTCGAAAGAAATTCAACGCGATAGAATCGAATTTATCGAACGAGTAATCTAATAAAGAGATTAATCTAAAACAGGCATACATGCAACAATACAATAAAGTAAATCACAAAATAAATAAGTACAGTCAAACATGTAGCAATTTAATATTTGAGCAAATAAATAAAACAAATAGAGAGCAAATAATATAAATAAATGAGCAATTAAATAATGTAAAGACAAATAATCAATTAAAAGCAATTAAATAATAATATAATATTCAAAAATTCTAATAAACGAACGGGGCGCTACACTGTATCTGTCATTGAGGGTTCAATGATGTGCTACTATATGAGGTGGTCCCATGACTTCTTGGGTATGTTGACATAGTTAGGTGACATTCAACCTTTGTGGTCAATAGGGGGAAAACCCCGGGTTCTTGCCATGGGTACGACTCCAACCGCCGACAACGAGATTTGGTCAGATTCGAGGGCGAATCCTCTCAATCAGGGAAGAATGATGCATAAAATATTGTATGCTTACCAAATATATAAAGCTAATCAAATATAATTTATTAACATATAAAGCTAATAAAATATTGTATATATATATATATATAATTTCTTAACTCATGTACTTTATGTAATTTGATGTTTTTTACTAGAAAATATTGCAGGTCTCGATTCAAAGAGGGCTGGCTGTGAGGTGGGAGAAAATTACAACTTCAACATGAAGAGAACTTATGGGTGGCACGAAGTTCGGATTTTTAGGGAACCATGTTGGTACATGAGTTGGACGGGATCCACTTGTCACAAGAGGGTTACAGGTTAATGTCGGCCTGGTTGATGCGAAACCTTCTGTTGCTTCTTAAGTGATATTTCGGTGGTGGTGATTCAGAAATTTTTGAATCATAACTGTCAAGTTTTGTTATGTTTTGATTGTCTTAGTTTTTGAATTTAGCTTAGTGGAAAGTTGAGATGGCTGTTATTAGCACAACATGAGATTTATGATGATACAATGTAGAGATAAGAGGATAATATATTTATTAATTCACTTGAGAATGAGGATGAAATAATTAAAGAATGCAATTCACTTAATGGTCGTCTTATAAATTTGTCATATCTTGTTGACATACTCTGTGTGTGTGTTCGCGTGTGTGTGTATGGTCAATCTTGTATGCAATTTCAATGTGAACCACTTTATTGTTCTGATTATGGAATCATACATTTATGCTTTGTAAAAATGAATTTGCACCATATATTGTTCTTCTGATTATAAAATAATGGATTCAAGCTTGTTAGAAGATTTAGACCGAGAGCTTGACAGCTTTGAAGAAGCCCCTTCAAAGTTAGTGGTAAATACTATGCATGTTTAATTTTGAAATGGTGAAGTCTCGGTATCCATGTAATTTAAACATTTCCCTTATTACAATAAAGAGTACACATTCTTCATGGGGTATAATCACATTTAGAGTTAAAACCTAATGTGTGTTGCAATGCAACTTTAGTACTAAACAACTGTGCGTCAGGAAGCAACAAATAATTTCAAATTACGTTGTAGTTGAATTTTAGTATTGTCGAACTTTTATATTTGGATTATGGATTAAGGCATTTGAAATAATGTTGTAGTTGAAGTTGACTGTAGCCTCACTTTTATATTTCGACTATGGATTAGGGCATTGTAAGCAAAATGAGATTTAACTCGATGCTCATTGTCGATAGTAATGTTTTCAAAATTGTCGCGGCTAATGTGCTTTTCGTTATATATTATACGAACAAATAAAAGCATGATAAGTATGTACTAAAATTAATGCTCAATCACTCACACACTTTTACAACATAGCATACAACTCCAATTATAATTTATTTACATGCTAAATTACTACAATAATTGGGCAGCACAGCCGGTAACAAACTAGTTGTTTTAGATATAAAAGAAATGCATATGCATGCATTCCATTAAATAATTATAATTTTGAAAAAAACACTTTTATCCCAAAAAAATTATATTTATTTTCTTTTTCTTTTTTTTGAAAATTTTTTCCTATTGCATCGGATATCAATCCAATGCATTTTATTACATTTTTTAGATCAAAATTATAGAAATATCTCCATTTGGTATTTTATTAATTATAGACACAATTTAATTAAGCCATGAATAAACTAAGAGTGCATTTTTTTAAATATTTGTTTATTATTCATACCTATATGAAGCTACTATTTTTCAATTTGTTGCGAAATATATTTTCATCCAATTTGAAGGTAACAAAACTATCCAAAATATATATTAATACATACTCATAAAAAAAATTAAATCAATGTGATAAATATTGTTTATTAGTCTCAATTTTCATAACCCAAAACTTCATAATAATTGAACGTAAAAACAATCTTATCATTTAGAACGTCACACGCACCTAAAGAATCGTACAAAAATAACCCAAAATTTCAATTTTTAATTTTTTTCATAATTTGACTTTATCACCTTATCATTTTGAGCGTCTCAATCACTTATATTTGTCTATAAAAGGATCGTTCTCTCCGATTTTCTAATAATGGAAATCACTAGGACCAACAGACCCGTGATCAATTCCGAATCGTGTGCCTCTTCCAAAGGACATCTGAATATTCATCATATAAGAAACTAATAATAGAAATTATCAATTTTTTTTTTCTCGGCCATTTTCTTTTATTAATATTTGAAGCATTTTTTACCAATTAAGTTATTTTGTACTACATAAGATTTCTTATACTATCTAAAATTTCTTATAGGAACTGGTCGAGGAAGATGAGGTTTCACCCCATTGAAGATTGTAAAAAATAGAGACAGGGTCGGTGACACTTCTAATGCAAAGCGCAACCTAATGGAGTTTCTAGATGATGAGTCTTGATTTGTTGCTTAATCAGCCTTGAAGGTGTTGGGATCTATGAGGATCACGATAATGTGCAAGTCACGAATTATCTAAGAATTAAACCCTATGCGCAGGGGAACTAGAAGTGAGGGTTCAAAGCGTACCGTTTTTAATTTTTCTGCACTCATCGGATCATTCTTGGACTGACCGTGAGCTCACCGGAGCTTCCCGAACCACCCGGACCGCATCTGGACTGCCCTGGACCGGTCTGGATGCACCTGGGCTGGTCTGAAGTACGCTGGACCGGTTCTGGCGCGTTCTGGGCTCACTGGATGGCTGTTCGAGCTGCTGGGCTGCGCCAAGGAAGTCACTGGGCCGCGGGAGGACTGGAATGTGCGCGGGCTGGACTGGGCATCACGAGGGCCGACTTTGGGTTCGCGGGCCGAAACTTGTGAGGCAAGCGGGCGGGCGGGCTGGACACGGGCCGCGCGCGGGCTGGACACAGGCCGTGTCCAGCCCGCGCGGGTCGCGAATGGATCTTCTCCGCTGATAGGTTCTCACGCGGTATTGGGCCTCCTCCCACGCGTTGGGCCTTGCACACGCGACGGGCCACGACGCTGGGCCTCCTCTGCACTGGATCGTGCTTGACTCCTGGGCTGTCTCCACCTGGGCTGCAGACAAGCGGGCTGCACGCGCGGATCTGCCAGGGAGCTGGGCTGCGCATTGGAAACCACCAGGCCGGTTGTGGTCGCGCATGGCGGGGCGTGAGTAGCCGTCACGGCGGCGGCCGGAGGTGGATGGTCGCCTGAATCACGACGGTCATCATGGTACAGTCTTCGGAGGTCGCCGGGCACTCCCAATATATCCGATTTGCACAGATCTGTCTTTTTCGTGTAGAACCGACAACCCCGCGAATTACAGATAAATTACGGGGATGAATATATTTATATTACGGGGTTGGATAAATATATATAAATCGCTCGACAACCCCGCGAATTACAGATAAATTACGGGGATGAATATATTTATATTACGGGGTTGGATAAATATATATAAATCGCTCGACAACCTCAGATCTTCTGTTGTATGACCCGACATCTCATCCGATCATCTTGGTGGGCGATAGATCGGAGATATCTCTACTCCTCAGATCTTCTGTTGTATGACCCGACATCTCATCCGATCATCTTGGTGGGCGATAGATCGGAGATATCTCTACTCGGATTACTTGGAGAACAAGAAGAGAACACAAGAGGGCGATAGATCGGAGATATCTCTACTGGGATTACTTGGAGAGGAAGAAGAGAACACAAGAGAGAGAAGAGAGAACACCAAGGGACGTGAATCTCATTCCCACGTTAATAGGCGTGTATCTGCTATTAACCTCCTAATCCCAAGAGATGTAATGTATTTATAGGCTACAACAGGGACCCTAAAAAGGTATTAAATTGGGCTTCTCCTATTTGGATTAGACTATATGCCAAGCCTACCAAACCCAATTAGGAATAATACAGTCATTCCACTAAAGTAGTATTATTGAATAAACTCCCAATTTAATTCCCGAATTATATTCGAGTCTTCAATAATAATTACTCGATTTACTTCACTGTGTTTAAGATATAATGTCCATCAATTAATTTAATTACTGACAATTAAATTAATCGACATTTATAACCGAGACTAGTACCACTCATCACATTCTTATTATGTCGGAATAAATTCCACTGGCCAGATTTAACATAATAATACTTCATGAGCTCATCTCGGGGACATCATCAAACTAGTGCACACGGTGACCGTAAATATCCTAACAGCATATCATACATACAATAATATTACCCAAAACATTAAGTATATTGATCCACTAAACTGAATCTCATCCATGTGAATCAAAGTAATAGTAATTGCATTTATATCTTACGGGTTAAGAGTACGCAACAATTAATCAAGGCCTAATTCATTTACGACGATCAGTATAAAACGAACTTCTCCTCTCTGGATCCGTTCAATACACAAAGTGTACTAGTGTAACTAATCAGTCAAGACAAACTGTACGGTTAACACTACAACCGTTCGGATGGGGTGTTCATTTCCATCTAGGTTGTGAACCACTTATTCTTGTTTCGCAAGTAACTAATAGAATGATCTTCTGTTCGCCCGCTAACGACCCATTTTATCTAAGTGCAAAACAACAGAACATAGACTGTTTAATTAAACATGTTTCTCATTCAAATGGTTGAGTGTAAATACATCTAAACCAAGCTTTCAATATATACACCAACAGAAGGGAAATGTAATGGTCGATGAGCATGATGACAAAATGAAGGATAATTTCGATACATATTATTATTATTATTATTATTATTATTATTATTATTATTATTATTATTATTATTATTATTATTATTATTATGATGATGATGATGATGATGATGATAGGGTATTATTTGAATTCAATTTTAACTAATTTGATTGAATAATGTTAGCAAATGCCAATTAGGCTTGCTTTTAATAATTTTATTAAATTTGGATGTTAGTTTATTTTTAAAATTTAGAAGTTGGTCTATGCAGTTTATGAACTATGGTTCTGGATAATAAATAATACTTATGATTTATATTTATTTGACTCACATTATACAGTTGGACTATTAATTTATATTTTGAAATTTTTCGTTTATTAACTTTTGGTAGGATGTCTACACGGTTTATGTATTATTATTTTTATGCAATAAAATAATTCACTTATTCAAAAATACATATACATATAAGTATATCATATAATTAGAATGAGCAAATACAATTCTAGAACAAGGCTACATCAAGGTAATAACAAGTTAAAATAAATATATCATTGGACAGCCGCAAGGTAGTTTTTTAAGAAATTGTACTATATGAATTAACTTAAATAAGCATAAATTTAATCTATATAATTGTAAACAGACACATATACATATAACAAAACTATTACGGTATATTTATCCTTTTTAAAAATAAATTTTTAATATATCTAAAATTGTAAAATATACCTTGCTATATTTAATACAAATATTTTGCAACTACTTTAATAAAATTTTACAAATAAATAAACAGGTCAATAAGTGAAAAGGGGTTGAAAATATTAGTATATGGGGACGAAAAGTTTCACAAGAATCAGCAACGTTGTGTACAATGAGGTGTTCAATAATTTATGATTTTTTTTATCTCGAACCTTTATAATTAGATAATCATCCTGTGTATGATAACTTTTTGTTGAACAACATCTGTATCTTTATATAAAGAGACTAACCATTTACGGATAATCATTAATGCTAAGGAGCCAACTGTTTGCTCCGTTACGGATCCAACAACCAATGGGACAGCTCCATGTGGGGCTGGGTTGTCCCACATGGCTCCAATGTGGGACAACATCACATGGAGTTGTCACATTGGTTGTTGGCTCCTTAGCATTACTGGTTTATTAACATTTGTAATTATTGCATTGATATCCATTATAATAACCTACAAATTTAATTTTATGTGATTCATATTGATTATTTTATAGCCAAGATAGACATGACAACATATTTTAAATTCTAAGCATATTATTATTATTATTTTCACTAATATTGACTTTTCATCTTAGAATATTTATGGAAAATTGTAACATATTAAGTATTTTTTTTCTTCATCGATATATATATATAAACAAATTATTTTTAAAATTAATATAATTTACCATTTAAGAGATAATGACCAGATACATTAAATAATTTTACTAATGGCCAGATAATAAAATTGAAACATATTAACTATCCTTTAGAATTTCAACATGTGATTTATTTGCATATTATTGTTAACCATGATTATTTTTTATCATTTTTTATTTTGGTTTCTTTCAATAGTGAAATTCTTTTAAATTATATTTTCATTGCCAGTGACGGATCTAGGAACTCTACTCAGGGGGCCCCAGTTTAAAATGTTAAATAACGAGCTTGTAATTTAAGTTGAAACGTTCATTTCATTTAAAAATATATTTACTGTAAATATAAATATCGATATTGTGTACCATCAAGTTTTTAAAAATTTATAATTCGTATCACCCTCAAACTTCTACAAAAAAAAATTAAAATAAAATAAAAAATAAAAAAATGATCGAGATTATATAATTTAAGTTCAACATCTATAATTTATAAAAAAATAAGTTTTTTGGTTGAAAATTTGATTTAAATTGAATTTTTGCAGCACATTGCATATCATTTTTGTTGATGAGAGCTTATCAAATGAGCATTTTTTTTAACAAAAAAATAAATAAAGTTACAAATATTTGATTGTCAAAAAAAAAGTAAGAAATAAACATTAAAAAAATGTAACAATAACTACTCGATTTTATAAATTACTAAATGGATTTACAATTAAGAGACCGGAAGAATAAATCATGGTAATTATTTTAAAAAAACTTATCTAGAACTATAAAATATAAGTATTGTTAGTACATTTTTTTAATAAATCAATAAGATTATTAATTTAAATTAAAAGAGAATAGATTTTTTTTTTAATTATTAATATAATGTAAACTCTATAAAATGACATATTTAATATTTTTAATTTTTAAGCATGCTCTTAATATCTATGTCGCTCGCACGAACTACTTAACGGACAAACTCTATGAAAATGACATATTTAATATTTTTGTCCGTCCATTGCACAGGCCTACGTACTAGTTCATTTTATATTTTTATAAAATTCTAAAAATAAATACAGTCCGTACATCTCACGTGATGACAATAGTCCAATCAAAAGAGCCGAGTGTGCTCACTTCTGTCAAAAACAAACTTGTCAATTGGAAAGCAAAGCTGCTTAGCACTGCTGGCAAAGAGGTGTTACTCAAATCTGTAATCCAGGCCCTCCCCATCTTCTCTATGTCATGTTTGAAGCTTCCTCTAACTCTTTGCTCTGAAATCTCAAGACTATGTGCTTAGTTTTGGTGGAAATCAGGAAATGATGACACAAAAGGTCTTCACTGGAAAAAATGGAGTTTTCTGTCTCTCCCAAAACAGCATGGTGGCTTAGGCTTTCATGACTTGCATCTATTTAATAAGACTCTACTTTGCAAACAGCTCTGGAGGATTGCCTCAAATCCTGATCTTCTAGTCAGCAGACTTTTAAAAGACAGGTATTTTCCTCACACATCTATCATTCATGCTGTTAAAACACAAGGTGCTTCTTGGATGTGGAATAGCTGGATGGAGGTCATGCCTTTATTTTCTAAATGGTTAATGATTAAAGTCAGAAATGGTGTCAACACAAAAATTACTGACTTCAATTGGATAACAAAATTTCATAAGCCTGCTCCCACCTTAATTCCTATTGCAAGAGATCATCTGACATGGGTAAAAGATTTGCTGCAGCCAAATGGATCATAGTGGAATGAGTGGTTGGTTTCTCAGGTGTTTGATGAAACAGATAGCAAAGCCATACTTGGCATTTCTTCTCTTAATCCAGCCAGAAATGACAGACTGTACTGGGGGTTGGAAAAGAAGGGCCACTTCACTGTTTTCAGCACTTACAAATATCTCTCATCACTCAAACTTCTTCACTCAGATCTTCCAGAGAGCAGTTCAAACTCAAATCTCAAGTTGGCAACTAAGTTCAGATTCTGGAAGCTGAAGATTGCTAACAAAATCAATTTCTTTATATGGAAATGTATAACAGGTACTCTCCCAGTGGTTGTGCATTTGAGGAAAAGAGGGATAGAACTTGACATTACCTGTTCCATCTGTGGGGAAGCACCTGAATCAGTGGAGCACCTCTTCTTTGACTGTCCTCGAGCCACCAAGTTCTAAAAGTTAAGTCCAGTGCAATGGGATGGATTGCAGAACTCCACTGACTCATTTAAAGCATGGTGGTACCAAGTGTGCACATTGGATGCATCTGAAGTGGCTGAAGCAAGGATTCAACTCTCGACGGACCTGCTTTGGTGGCTTTGGAAGTCCAGAAACCTCTGAATTTTTCAAAAGTTCTTAATACCTGAGCATGCTCTACTGCAAATGGCACACTCTGACTGGCTCCAGTTTACAACATCATCTCTCTAGTTTTTCTCTTGTTTTGCTTTTTATTTCTGTTGTTAGTTGGTTTGGAATGTTAGCTCAATGTTAGGCTTTGTAGCAATGGTAGGGGACTTCATTTCTGTATTTTGTGATCGGTTGTACTTTATTCTAGCTGAGGTTCTAGGCCGTCTCTGACGATCATCCCATGTTTTCTTTTTAGTAGACCGTTGTTCTCTTATATTCAAACATGCCTTGGATTTTATTAATATTTATCTCTGTCGTTTTTGGAAAAAAAAAAAAAAAANAAAAAAAAAAAAAAGAGCCAGAGTGTAGAGTAGGGCTGCACATTCGGTCGAAATCGAACCGAACCGAAATTTAAAACCGAAACCCGAACCAAAAACTACGGTTCGGTTTGGTTAAAAACCGAAAATTTATCGGTTTTATCCGATCGGTTATCGGTTATCCGATAAAATAGAGAAATGGCAAAAATAAAATGTACAATTCGTGAGTTACCGAAACCAACCAAAATGCATAAGAAAGAATAAAAAAAAGATAACTTGTCCCAAAACACAAGTTTATCAAGTCTTATACGTCACATTATGTTCATTAGACATAATCACATAAAAATGGCCACTAGAGCACCATTACAAATTTCAAGTAGCAACCAAACAGTCCTTTTGCTCTTCAACCACATTACAAAAGAGTCCTGTTCATGTTATCCTGTTCATGCATAAGGTACAAATTGCTCTTCAGCCACTAGAACACACATAACAATAATAATAAAAAAGAGTCCAATAGAACACCATTACAAACTTCAAGTAGCAACCAAAAGTCCAAAATATATAAAAGAAACATCTTCAACCTTCATTCCTTTTGCTCTTCATATTATCCTGTTCATGCAAANGCTGGCTCGAACTCGCCGGAAAGACGCGCCCAGAGGTCGCCGGAAGTTCAGGGTCGCCGGAAAAACGCGACAGAGGGGCGATGGCGGCGGCCTGTTGGAGAGGAGAGTTGGTGATGACGAGGGTGATGATGGTGATGATGGAAAGGAGATGATCGAATGGTGGTGATGACGACGGAAAAATCACAGCGAGATGCTCGACGTGAAGGGAGAGGATGATGATGGTCGAAGAAAAGGAAAATAAAAGTCACAGCGAGAGAGGCAAGGGAGGAAGGAGGGAGACGATCAAAAAGAAATAAAGCTGCGGGATTTTTTTTTTTATCGCAAGGGAGGAGGACCAACATATATATACATGCTATTAGGTTTGGAACAAGTCTTGTTGTCCAAGACACCAAACTCACGCCCAAAAGAAAAAGAAAATCTGTCGGGCCGGGCCCGAGAAGTTGGGTCAAAAGGGTTTTGGGCCGGTTGCGACATCAAATCGGCTCACGGGCTCGATTAAAATTTTTAACGGACATTTTCGGGCCCAATTTCGGTTCCAACGAAAGTTCTCGGGCTCGATTTCGAATGCAAACGCGCGATAAAAATAAACCGAACAATATATATATATATATATATATATATATTGTTCGGTTTATTTTTATCGCGCGTTTGCATTCGAAATCGAGCCCGAGAACTTTCGTTGGAACCGAAATTGGGCCCGAAAATGTCCGTTAAAAATTTTAATCGAGCCCGTGAGCCGATTTGATGTCGCAACCGGCCCAAAACCCTTTTGACCAAACTTCTTGGGCCCGGCCCGACAGATTTTCTTTTTCTTTTGGGCGTGAGTTTGGTGTCTTGGACAACAAGACTTGTTCCAAACCTAATAGCATGTATATATATGTTGGTCCTCCTCCCTTGCGATAAAAAAAAATCCCGCAGCTTTATTTCTTTTTTATCGTCTCCCTCCTTCCTCCCTTGCCTCTCTCGCTGTGACTTTTATTTTCTTTTTCTTCAACCATCATCATCCTCTCCCTTCACGTCGAGCATCTCGCTGTGATTTTTCCGTCGTCATCACCACCATCCGATCATCTCCTTTCCATCATCACCCTCGTCATCACCATCTCTCCTCTCCAACAGGCCGCCGCCATCGCCCCTCTGTCGCGTTTTTCTGGCGACCCTGAACTTCCGGCGACCTCTGGGCGCGTCTTTCCGGCGAGTTCGAGCCAGCCCTCGAGCTTGTGACGTTGAAACCACCTCGCGCAGCCAACCCCTCCGACCACTCCCCGATCGCTGTTCGTGGATTTTCCGGCGAGCTCGATTATCCTTCGAGCAGCAACTCCGGTGACCTTCCCTGCGAGCTCGTGAACCAGTAGCAGCGACCACCTTCTCCTCCCGTGCGACGAGCCCTTCTCTTTCGCGAGACGAGTTTACCGTCGAGCCCGTTCGAACCCATTCTTGCTCGATTCCCGAGAACGGTACCTCGTCGTTTTTCCGTCTCGTTTAACTCGTATATGTTTTTTTTCGTTGGGTGTTTATTGTCGTGAAGTGCTCGTTGATCAATGATATATATGTGTGAAGTTCTTGATGTGAATATGTGCGTTATATATTTTTATGATTTTATGTGTTCGTATGTTCGGGACCTCTTCGATTTTCTCAAGAATCAAACGAGACCTTGAAAGTCGTGTAAGTCGGTAGACATTGGAACAATGTCGAGCCCTTGGTCTTATGAAAAGGCCTCGGACGAGAAATTTTATGTTAGGAATTAATTTGCAAGTTATCGAGCTTTTGAATCGCTGTTTTGGTGTTTGAATTTTTAAAAATAGCTCGCTGCTCGAAACGATTTGAAATTTTGAGAGATATGTTATCTGTTCATTGCCTGCCTTGTGTAAAAATTTCGTAATTTTTAGAGGCCTGTAGCTATTTTTAATAATTAAAATATAATCCAATCAGAATATGTTAAATGCGTAAATAATTAATGCCTTAATGAAATGAGCTGAAATTCGAATATGTCATGCCTCTGTGACTTATATATGTTGTGTTAAATGTTTAGAATTTGTGGACTTGATTTGATGTGGTTAATATTTTATTTATCGAATCTGCAGAAACGTTGTTTGAATTTTTATAAATTGGTTACTTCATGAATAATTCTGAAATTTTACTGAGAGACCTATTTTATGTGTTTAATCATGTTTGTAAAAGATGGGAATTTTTGAAGTCTGTTTTGATTCAGTTTGGATTTAAGTTTGATAAACTGCTGTTGCTCGTATGAATTTTTAAAAATAGTAGTAGTCAACATTTAAGGCTGAGATTTTTATACATGGACTTTAACATACTGTATGTGGTTGTGTTAAATTTTCAAGTTCAGATTCATTCATTAAGTTTGAGTATGAATTAATGTGCCCATTTTGTTGATATCTTGTTTGAATTTTATAAAATAGTGTATTGCGAGTTTGAAGCTAAAAATTTGTGGTTTTACATGTTTCTGAGAGATGTAATTTTGTGTAAATTTTCAGAGCCTAAGTCGTAGGGTAGCATGACCATCTATTTTCATGCGATTAATGATTTCTATTTTCGAAACATGATTTATATGAAAATTTGAAAATCGACTTGCTTTTAGTTTTGATGTGAGTTTGACTTGATTGATGGGTTTATGTGAACTCCGTTATGTGGTTTGGTCGAGTTTAGTGCCGAGTCTTAGTGTTCCAACATCCACAGGACTTCACGAACTACTTAGTCGAAACGAGTTCGACTAGGTTTGCCTTGTAATTTCCGATTTAAGTCGAGATAGATATTGATTGTAGGATCTTGACATCATGTAGGTGTCTAGAGGTGTTGACCTTGCCTTATTTCAAGATTTGTGATTCTGTGAACTGTTGCTGCTATCAGGTGGGTACATTTATGATGTATTCCATATTTACCGCACTCCTTATTTCGTGTAATATTTCTTTGAAAAATTTTTGTATGCATGAGAACTCTAGTCTAAGTGTCCCGAACGCTAGTGCCTTGATGAATGCGAAAACGGTAGGAGGTCGCCTGCCCGTTGTATCCGGGAGGGACGCCCCATGCCGTTGTATCCGGAAGAGGAAAAACATCTCTGCTGTCTCCTGGAAAGGATCCTGCGAACCGTTGTACCCGGGAGTGGGAAAGTTTCCAGTTACCGCCATGCCATTGTATCCGGAAGGTTGTTGTATGTACATAGGAGGTTTGCGATAGGGCTGGGTAGGGGGTTTAGGCTATGAATTCTGTGCATACCGATACTGATATTGTTTTACCGTGATACTGCTTTTTAAATAATTATACGAGATAACTGTGCGATAATGGTGAGCTAGTTGGTTGCTCACCCCGATTATTTTTCTTGTTGTCTTCTCTCTTCCTTTGTTCTAGGTTGAGACGAGCTGGAGGCGGTGGCGTAGGACGAGCGAGATGGTGGTCATTATGTGTTGAAAACCTATGCTTCCGTATAAACTTGATATTTATTTTATTTGCCATTATGTCTTGGATTATTTACCGCTTTCACTTTTCGAACTATGTTTAAGTTGGTTGAACCTTGAATAATGCTAGATCTTTTGGAATGGTTTTTGAGACTTATGTTTTATGGGATTTGTTATATCGTTAGCTCAAGCATGGGTAGGTTCCTTCAATTGTTGGATGTGTGTTGTTTGTTATTGTTAGTAAGTAGCGCCCGTTTCTCGATGAAGGTTTTAACTTGGATTTAAAAAAATAAAATAAAATAAAATAAAATAAAATAAAAAAAAACTCTGATTTTTCATGAATTAATTCGATAAATTCTTTCAAATAAAACGGGGCGTTACATTTTGGTATCAGAGCCAGTCTTGCTTTTCTGTAGACTGGTTCATTTGTAATTAATTGTTATATGACCATTGACCACTCGCTTCGTCTCGTCGCGCCAGCTCAAGGTATGAAATTATGGTTTTGTTTATTTATCTGGGGCTTAGGAAATCTATCCACCTTGAAATGTTTTGAACTCTAGTGTTTCGTGGCGAACTCTAGACTTCCTATAATTGTTTTGGGTTTTAAACTTTTCCGGCTTGTTCTATGTAGAACTATGGCCACTCGTAATCGCAATGCTCGCAACCGTCAGCAAACCCCACCTCCACCTCCACCCCCGTCTCCGTCTCCACCTCGCCAGCAGGCCCCTCCGGCCATGGATTTTCCCCGACTCATTGTCCAGTTTCAGGGCATGCATGCGCCTACTTTCTCGGGGAGTGAGGCCCCCACTGCTGTGCTTGAGTGGATGAAGGAGCTTGATAAGATCTTCGATGTGCTCCCTCTTCCCGATAGACAGCGAGTAGCCCTCGCCGCCTTCCAGATGAAGGCAGATGCTTCCGACTGGTGGGTCGACCACTGGTCTCGGAGGCCAGAGGCTGAGCTCAATGTCCTCACTTGGGAGCAGATGAAGGCGATGGTTCGTAGCAAGTTCCTTCCCCAGAGTTTTTGGGATCGCATGGAGCACGAGTTCTACCATCTTCAGCAGGGCGGTACCAGCGTGGACGACTACATCCGCACTTTCACCCGAATGTGCCTTTTTGCTGGTGATTCTTGTGAGCACCGACGAGAAGAAAGCCAATAAGTTTCTGAAAGGGCTGAATCCAAGAATCCGTGAGCTAGTTGGTGTTAGAGTAGGGTACCCGGCGTTCCAATCTGATTGGACGTATTCTACTTGTAAATACGATCTATTGGAATTATATTGTAAATAAGGCATTACTTTATCTTAAGAGTAAGCATTTATCTTATATTTGCACTTAAGATAAAATCCCTAGATCACTTATGGTTATAAGGTATGGTTGCGCATAGAGATGGTGATCATGGAACATACCTTGAAAGCCGTGATCTTAAATACAGTTCCAAGTCGATGGATGTTTCGAGATGGGATATCGAATAATCCATAAAAGACTTGCACATAGTTTGTATGCTTGTTGGACAAGAATGTTGCATTCCATCAACATTAGCGTAAGACGTAAGTACATTTATGTGGGTGCTTGTTAGAGAACAAGTTCACTGAACATGACCGTATGAAAATTCTTAATGAAGAATTTATTCAGTCGAATAAGAATTTTCATGTTACAATAGTACATGACTAATCCTAAGACTTGAGGCACAATGGTAACTTTGTGCATATTACATTCTACTTTGATTTATCCTTTTGGTAGCTAGCACTATCGTTTAAAGGGATAAGTTGGGTATTATGTTAAT